TCTATCTATCATGACATTGGCTTTTTTGTATTTTTGATATTATATATTGAACTAAGGTGTGTGCTTTAAAACCAAACTATATCCGTAGTCTTTTTTTTTTTGAGACAGAGCTTGCTAAATTACTGAGGGTCTCACCAAATTGCTGAGGCTGGCCTTAAACTTGTGAACCTCCTGGCTCAGCCTTCCCAGTTATTTTATAGAAATAACCTCTGTTGAGGTTGTTAATGTTCCCTGGTAATCACATTCAGATTATGTCTCCCTGGTCAGAATACAACTCCTTGCACCAGCTCAGACAATGAGTACACCTAACACCCGGATATTGGTTTCTAAATACCATTTCCCACCAAATGAGAAATGGTTACTTGTAAAAATGGCTGATTTCAGGGCATGGTAAAGAATGTACAAGATTCAGTTAGAGGGGGACTGGGGTTGTGACTCAGAGGTAGAGTGCTCGCCTAGCACGCGTGAGGCCCTGGGTTCAATCCTCAGTACCACATAAAAATAAGTAAATAAATTAAAGGTATTGTGTGCAACTACAACTAAAAAATAAATATTAAAAAGAAAAATTCACTTAGAATATTTTGCTATGCCAAAAAAGTAAGGATTTGCTCAAAAAATGATGGTCACATGACCCAGTAAAAAGATACTCAAACTGGCTGAATCTGGGACAACTGATAATCAGAATAAGTTGGAATAGAAATGGATTACAAACCACTGAATAAATAGGAATCCATATCCATAAAGAATAGATAATTTACGAGTAAGGGAGAAGGAAAGATTGGTAGAGTTAGAAAATGACTATTTTGCACCATCATTTTTTAAAACAAGAATCATCAGTAGATAATAAATCTTGAAGTATAAGTTTCAAGAGAAGAAGATATTTACATGTTATCATAATATTACCCCACAGATTCCTTATAAATTGCAAGGAGATAAACACTAACTACATCACTTTCTTAAAAATGGACAATGCATTGACAAGATGATTAAAATTTTTAATCATGATTAAAAGACAAATGGATTTTATGTACCTACAGATGTAATTCCTTAGAGACAACATAAGCTCACTCGAGTGAGCTATTGTCCTATCTCTTTCCCTGATATTTAGAATTGGATGAAATTCTTTTGTGTTCTTTTTTATTCTTTTCTTGGGTGATGCATCTCTTCAAACTGGATAGTCACATTCTTTAATTTTGGTGATGAATAGAAACATATACACAATTATACCCAGTATTCAAAATTTTTTAAAAAATATATTTTTAGTTGTAGACACAATACCTTTATTTTATTTGTTTATTTTTATGTGGTGCCAGGGATGAACCCAGTGTCTTATGCAATCTATGCAAGTGCTCTACCACTGAGCCACAATCCAGGCCCCCAGTATTCAAATTTTTAAATTTAATTATCATGTATTGATTCTCTAAGTTTCTTATTTTATATTTTTTAATCTCCTTTTTTTCTGCTTTCTGGGAGATTTTCCTCAGTTTTGTATCTTCAAGTCCATTTATTAATTTGGGGTTTTGTTTGTTTTTACAATGCTGGCAATTAAACCAAGGGCCTTGCACATTCTAGGTAAGCCTCTACCACTGAGCTATATACCCTGAGCCCCAAATTTTTACTTCAATCATCAAAACTTTAATTTCTAAGAATTATTTATTATTATCTGCTTTTTTTCATAAAAATACACCCAGACCATAGCAACAGTACATGCATATACAAGCATGTAGAGAAATGTATTATAAATAAAATAACAAAAGTTAAAATGACATTAGGCTTAATAACAAAGCCAGATTTGGTAAATAGAAATATTGGACATGTATTAGCTTTCTGTTGCTATGACAAAATAACTGAGAAAATCAACTTAAAGAAGGAACTATTTATTGGCTCACAGTTTCAGCGTTTTAAATTCCTGGTCACCTGGCTCCATTGTTTCTGAGCTTGTGATGAAGCAGAACATCATGGTGGGGAGTGTATGGTGGAGCAAAGTTGCTCACCCAATGGCAGCTGAAAAGCAAAGAAGCAGGACAGAGAGAGGCCAGGAAAAAAATATACCCTTCAAGGACTGCCGCAGTCTGGCTGGGCACAATTCAGGAGCCACTTGTCAAAAGAAACTAACTTTATCTTTAGAACTACAAACGCCAAACAAAACAGCTCCTCAGGAAAAAACCCTCAGAGCCCAACTGCCACCACCGGCTTCCACAAGCCTCTCACCCCCACACCAGCCTCTCAACCTCCCACAATCCTCCTGCTCTTGAGGCCGATTGGCTGGGTTGCGTGGGCAGAGCCAAAGAAGTCCCCCAATGAGCAGCTCCGTGGAGGAGCCAATCAGCTAGATGTTGCTGGGGCCGCTGTGAGCCAATCATCAGCTGGCAGTCTGAAGGGCAGGGAAACAGCCCAATGAACATCAACGCAGAGGAGCCAATCAGCTAGATGTTGCTGGGGCCGCTGTGAGCCAATCATCAGCCGGCAGCTGGAAGTTTGCTGGCAGCTGGATCATCAGCCGGCAACTGGAAATTTGCTGGCAGCTGGAAGTTTGCTGGGGCCCCTTTGGCTGTGGCTCTCAACAAAGGACAAACCCCAGTGACCTATTTCTTGTAACTAAGCTCTACCCTTAAAGTCTCCACTACCACCTTCCAATGCCCATTAAGATCTGATGCAGTCATCTCCCAAAAGTCCCCACTTCTGAACACAGGCACTGGGGACCAAGTCTTCCACATATGAGCTTGTAGGGGACATTTAAGATCCAAATTATTTGGATAAAAATTATATAAAAATATATAATTATAGTTGTCTTGAGTCATGCTATGCAGGAGATATAGATAATGTCCAAAATTTAATATTTTCATTGAAAAAAGGATGATCTTACTAAATGTATAGTATTTCTTTTTTTAAAAAGCCTACTTGATAATATATTGCCTACTAAAGGTAAAAATTACATAAAAAATTCAATTGAATTTGAATTTCAGGTGCCTGAATAATTGTTTAGTATATGTATATCCCAAATTTATGGTATTTATAGTTCATCTGATTCAAATCACGCCAGGTGTTCCATATTTATTCAGCAATTCTACAGTAGTGACATTGAAAATAATTCTCCAGTAGGAATATGCTAGGAGGGCTGGGGTTGTGACTCAACGGTAAAGCATTCACCTAGCACATGCAAGGCTCCAGGTTCGATCCTCAGCACCACATATAAATAAATAAATAGATAGATAAAAGGTATTGTGTCCAACTACAACTAAAAAGTAAATATTAAAAAAAAATTTTAAAGGAATAGGCTAGTAGATTACTTATCTTTTCCATCCTCTAAGAGATGTTAATTTTGTTTTATTTATTTACTTATTTTTAATATTTTTTTAGTTGTAGATGGACACACAATGTCTTTATTTTTATGTGGTGCTGAGGATTGAACCCAGTGCCTCACACATTCCAGGAAAGCCCTTTGCCACTGAGCCACAGTCTCTGCCCAGAAATGTTAATTTTAAAAAGCACTTCGGAGAAATAAAAATAGAATAACAAAACACATGTACTCTATTTTTAGCAATGTAAGTGACAGAAAAGTCTCAAAATCCATACTTTAAAAGACTGAACTAAATTACACTGGGCAGCAAATGCAAGGAGAATATCAAGTTGTCTCCTAAGTAGTGGATCTCAGAAAGCATAAGCAAAAAATATATTCTGAAAAGAAAGCACTCAGAAATGGAAAATTTCTAATAACTGAGTGCAAGCCTGCTGTAAGCCAGACTTCAACTGATGATTTTTCTTTGGTCTTTTCATGGCAGTAGCCTTGGAATGAGAATGTGCTTCCCATTCAGAGAACACAAATATGGAAAATGGAATATGAAATACATACGGAATCATAGAAGATAGTTTGAAGTAAGAATATGACATTTTTTTCATTTATTGAGTAAACCTTTCTTTCCCTACTTATTAAAGTTCTACTGTGTTCTAAATTCTTATAAATGTGAAAACACATATATACACATACATATGTATACATGACTTTCTGAGATTCTGCTTTGGGTTTTATGATTTTCGAATTCATTAAGGACCAATGTACAAAGCTGAATTTAAAAAATACATTTATTCTCTTATCTCTAAAGACATCAATATATATCAAAATAATGACCATACAAATTATGTTTGAATAATATGGTTATGTTTTGCAAAGGCAATTTTATTTACCTTTAGTAGACAATACTTCTATTATTGTGGGAGACTAACCTCCCATGTGACTAAGTTAATTCCCCTGCTGGGTAATGTGGCGTTAGGCACCCATGCTGCTAGACTGCCCCGATCTTCTAGGGTTCCATGAGGTGTGTCTTCCTACAGCCCCATATGGGTGAAGCTACGCTCACCTGTTCCTTTGTAATATAACCCCTTGCTCTGTTTAGGATAGAATCTTCCATGGAAGTGCCTTGTGTGTGTACCCTTCTCTTACTGTGCCCTTGGATGTGATCTACCCAGATGTCAGTCAGCCTGCTGACAGTAGACATCATGAAGATAGACTCAGCCCCCTGAAACCTGACCCCTTGCCTCATTTGAATAGCTTCTCCTCAATAAAAGGGGTCAGCACATGCAGTGCTCTCTCTCTCTTCCTGTGAACCCTTAAGGTCAGAGGAGCCGTCACAGCGACGCCAAAGAAAAAGGTATTTGTGTCTCTTGTGTGATTATTTTGTGCAGCCCAAGTAGCCCACTTCAACTGGAGTGACCCCTGAGCCTTTTAGTCGAGAGAACAGAAACCTGGCATATTATCAAGTAGGCTTTTTAAAAGAAGAAATAATATAAGATTAGTAAGATTACCATTTTTTCAATGAAAATATTAAATATATTTACCTTCTTGGACATTATCTATATCTCCTATATAGTGTGACTCAAGACAAACAAACCATAACCAGAGAGTCAGATTATAAAGGTAATACCTCAGTGAAGAGGCCATATGCTTAGAAAAAGAAATTTCTCTGAATTTTATACATTAGTAAACAAATAAGAAAATGCCATTTCTCTTTTCAATAGGATTTATTTATGTTTAATTAAAAGTAGCAAATGTTATGTAAGTCATTTTCTTAAGAACTTTATTTTGTACAACCACATGGTTATCAAGCAACATTTATGGAATGTTCCCTGGGTCCATGATACAGAACTTTGTAACTATTGTAGCATCCTCTTTTCCAAGTTTAAACATGACTGTGTACACTGAAGAAGCACAGCTGTACCTTGCAGAGTGGTCATCTGTGACAACCTGACATCAAGTGAGAAGCCTCTTGAAGAACGTTGTCTTTTGTTGATTTTTTACAGAATGGCACTTGTCTTTTTTGTGTGATTATCAAACCCATATTGATGTTTTTCAATTAATTTTTCCTTTGCTACCATGAAAACAAACCAGTTAAAACGAAGCAGTGTAGCAATATAACGAATCAAACACATATGATGTTATATCTTATATAGGATGTTTTAGGTGGTATGGATGTTTTAGACATCTGTACTTAGCTTATTTTGGACAATAAAAAGAAGCATATCAGCTAAGCAAACTCAAAGATTATATTGGAGATTGATACACTGTTTTGACACACACACACATACACACACACACATAAAATCTTGGGCTCATTTGTTTTTCAGGAGTGTGGTAGAATAGTTTACTGTTAAAAAGGTTTGGCTGTTCTTGTTTTCCCCAGATTCCTTTTTTATGCATTTTTAGATAACAGAATAATATTATTTCTGAAACATTATTACTTGGTTTGACAGGCTACTAGAGTGCAGGCTCACTTTGCCATTCTCCTCTTTGTGAACGTTGATGATTTCTGTTTACTTTTCCAAACATGTGCTTATGCTAAAGATCCAAAACCTATAATGGAGAGTCACTGGTAATTATAAATATACAATGTTTTGTTAGGACAATGACTGATCTGAGGGATTGAAGTTTTGTTGCTAATGTAAGAGCTCTGACTATCCTGCTCAGCTGTACAGAGAAGTATTTGGGAATAGGGAAATGCATATTTCCAAAGAAACCATACTGCATGCTTATTTGACTGGTAGAATTTCTCTGGTTTGATGCATCACTGGTATTCAGGGTGGAATTGACATGCAGCTTCTTCAGCAAGCTTCTTACTCCATCAGGAGAGTCCAGCGATGTTACAGATGACTTATAGCCTGTCACTGCACATATCTCTCTATGCTCACTGCCAGGGAGGTTGCAAATTCTCTAGTCCAATGTTAGTCTTAAAACTGAAGGTGCTTTGCTTCAGATACCTGTCATACCTATAAAAAAGAAAATATCAAAAAAAAAAAGAGGGAAAATTTGTGTTACAGGCTTTATAGTACTTTAAGAATTGTATGAATTATTTATTTTTATATCTATTACAAATTTGTGTTTAAAATACAGATTGTTGGGGCTGGGGATGTGGCTCAAGCGGTAGCGCCCTCGCCTGGCATGCGTGTGGCCCAGGTTCGATCCTCAGCACCACATACCAACAAAGATGTTGTGTCGGCCGAGAACTAAAAAAAAAAAATAAATATTAAAAAAAAAATACAGATTGTTGGGCTGGGGCTGGGGCTCAGTGGTAGAGAGCTTGCCTAGCACATGTGAGTCACTGGATTTATTCCCTAGCAGCACATAAAAAAACTAAATAACAAAGGTATTGTATTATCTACAACTAAAAATATTTTTAAAAATACAAATTGTTGATAAGAACTATTACTAGTAAAGTGTATTAGTGATTATTTTATTTTGTGCAATAAAATTTCAGCACAGAAAATGGTTAAAGTATTTCACATTAATTTTTATCTGAAGTGACTTTTTTTTTTTTTTTTTTTTTTTTTTGGTGGTGGTGCTGAGGATTGAACCCAGGGCCTTGTGCATGCGAGGCAAGAACTCTAACCAACTAAGCCATATCCCCAGCCCTGAAGTGACTTTTAAAAAACTTTTTATTAAGTAAATTTTAAAAGACCCCAAAATAGGTAAATTTCAAAAATTATACCCCATATGCAAAGTAATCAACCATCTTAAAAATATTATTCACAATTCTGTTGTTGTTCAATAATGCTTATTTACTGCTTATTAAGTGTCTGGCAGTTTTCCAGACCTGCTTTACCTCATTCAAAACACAGAAGAGTCAAATGAGCAAGGTTAGAGGCAGAATTACTATGACACTTAGAAAGCTTACTTGCCTGGGTACCTTCAATAAAGAGGCCCTATCAGTATCTTTATGTGTTTATATACAGTCACACTGTCATTTAAGAACTGGACGTGTTCTGAGAAATGCATAGTTAGACATTTTTGTCATACTCAAACAAACCAAGATGGTGGAGCCTATGCACATAAGCTGTATAGTGTAAAAGTGGTATAGCCTATTGCCCCAAGGGCCAGGATGAACAAAGCAACACTAGACTACATCTAGCACAAGAGAAATCAATCCAATCAAGGGAGTGAATGAGACTACTGCTGTCATAATATTGCATACTGTTTTATGATAAACTTTTTTTAATAAGTAGAAAGAGTGCCATCTAATTATAAATACTATGATATAGTAAGTAAAGAAATTGATAACAGTTACTTATCACCAAGCATTATACACTGTGCATAATTATATGTATCTTGCTTTTATATAACCAGCAACCAAATATGTTTGTTTAAACTGATGTCACCACAAAAACATTGGTGATGTGTTATGATGGCCAAAACATCACTGTGAAATTTTCAGCTCCATTATAATCTTAAGGGACCACTGTTGTATATTCAGTCCATCACTAGGCTTCTGGATGCACAGGAATTTGTAGACATTTGCATGATTTTTCAGGACCTCTTGCCTTGCTAATACCAATAGTAGGAAAGTCATTTTCCCAGGGAATATTGACCAGAAACAACATTACCTGTCGCATGACTGTATTTTGTTAAGTTTGCAAAAATAAGATATTTCAACCACAACCAGTTTAGACAGCTGGCTCTTTCCATTTCAACTGTCTCTTAGTGATAATTTGTCCTCTTATTGTAATTATGGAGCAGCAGTAATCATTTCTTTGATCTTAATAAAATAAATGACCATTAATAAAGGGTTGACCAGTATGCATTTTATGTGCTTTGCAATTTCATCCACATATAGTTACATTTTTGTTGGTCATCTCAGTTTGGTATGTATTCTAGGAATATTCTGAATATGGTTAATTCAGAGAACATTTAAGAGCAGGCATTCAGAGAAGACCCGAAAAGACCTGACATCTTCTGATTTAGATATGAAAGAGACTCAAAAGAGGTTCCCCCATTTTTTTTAACCCAGGGGCACTTAACCACTGAGCCACATCTCCCCATTTATTTGGAGACAGGGTCTCTCTAAGTTACTTAGGGCCTCATTAAGTTGCTGGGGCTGGCTTTGAACTTGCAGTCCTCCTGGCTCAGTCTCTTAAGTCACTGGGGTAAGAGATGTGTGCCACCATGCCTGGCAAAGTTTCTCCAAATTTTACAACAATCCTAAAAATTACATATTACTAACAAAGAATTGACAATGTAAAAGAAACCTCAGTAAAAGAAAATTGTCAAAGAGAAAAATAGAAAGCAAATTTCCATAAAATATTTAGAGAATAGTCTAAATAATTTTTTTCTATTCCTCCTACAGAAAATGCCATTACAAGATTCTCATCAAATGCAGAGACAATAAAAGAATAGGCAGGGCTTGGGGTGTAGCTCAGTGGCAGAGTGCTTGCCTAGCTCGTGGAGACAGCACCACATAAAAATAAACATAAAATAAAGGCATGCTATCTAATTACAACTATAAAAAAATTTTAAAAAGAAGAGGCAATCAGTGTGTACACAACTAAATAAAGTAGGATATTGTACAGCTGTTAATATGATGTCATTCACATGGAGATTAAACAATATGCTACTGAATGAACAAAGGGTTACAGAAGACATCAAAGAGGAAATTAAAAAATTCTCAGACACAACGTATCGAAATCTCTGGGACACTATGAAAGCAATACTAAGAGGAAAATTCATTTCATGGAGTTTATTCCTTAAAAGAAGGAAAAGCCAACAAATAAATGAACTCACACTACACCTCAAAGCCTTAGAAAAAGAAGAACAAATCAGCAGCAAATACAGTAGAAGGCAAGAAATAATTAAAATTAGAGC